TAATGTTGGAGCACATCTGATCATTTCTGGAAGCTGATTCCAGCAGCAAGGGGCGCTGTTAGTGGCTGAAGGCAGATTCACCCTGCTTTGACTGAACTCTTGGAACTTCTAGTTTATATGATCCTAAAGATCTGAGTGATCTGTTGGGTTTGTATTCAGTCAGCATATCTGTGATGTATTTAGGTCCTAGGCCATTTAGTGATTTATAGACCAGTAATAATACTTTAAAATCTATTCTGAATGTAACTGGCAGCCAGTGTAAAGACCTGAGGACAGGTGTGATGTGCTCTGATTTCCTGCTTCTGGTCAGAATTCTGGCTGCAGCGTTCTGGATGAGCTGCAACTGTCTGACTGTCTTTTTAGGAAGACCAGTGAGAAGTCCATTACAGTAATCCACCCTGCTGCTGATAAAAGCATGAACAAGTTTCTCTAAGTCTTCACTGGAAACAAAGCATCTGATTCTTGCTATGTTTTTGAGATGATAGTATGCTGATTTACTGACTGCTTTGACATGACTGTTGAAACTCAGATCTGACTCAAGAGTCACACCAAGATTCTTGACCTTATTTTTTGTCGTTTGACCTTTAGAGCCAAGGAGCCAAGGTATTTACCTTGAGAACCTCATCTCTGTTCCCAAACGCAATGACTTCAGTTTTCTCTTTGTTTAACTGAAGAAAATTTTGGCACATCCAATTGTTAATTTCATCAATGCATTGGCAGAGGGTGTCAATGGGGCTGTAGTCATTAGGCAGTAAGGCTAGGTAGATCTGAGTGTCATCAGCAAAGCTGTGGTAGGAGATTTGATTCTTTCTCATTATTTGGCTCAGAGGGAGCATGTAAAGGTTGAACAGGAGAGGTGCCAGAATCGAGCCTTGTGGGACTCCACATGTCATGGGTGTCCACCTCGACCTATGGTCACCTAAACTGACATAGTAACCTCTCCCTTCAAGGTAAGATCTGAACCATTTGAGGACTGTCCCAGACAGCCCAACCCAGTTTTCCAGCCTATCCAGAAGTATGCTGTGATCGACAGTGTCAAATGCAGCACTGAGATCGAGCAATACCAACACTGTTATTTTACCTGAATCTGTGTTTAGACGTATATCATTGATTATCTTTATAGTAGCAGTATGCTCTGGTCTTTCCCTGCTCTGGACTCCTCATGTGGTGTTGTGGCTGGGTGCAAATGCGAGTTATGTTTTCTTGTAGTGTTTATTTATGGAGTATCGTTTATGCAGTTTATTGATCTATTTGTTTGCTTTGTCTTTATGTATTTATGATTAGAAACCAGTCTGATACCATGTGAAAAGTTATGTACTGGCATTGGTGAATAAAATCCAACCAAATGGATCTTTTGTGTGTTTTGACTAACACTCCATTGTGATACTCCCCCTGCGAGTCAGCATTACCTTCCTAATTTCTTACATAGTCCTTCGACCCAGAGTTGAGTGTTGCAATGGATCGAGATCAAAATAATAGAGTACCATTCTCAGTTTGAAGTCTCATCAAACCAGTCATTCAGTTACCTCAGCTCCAGTCCAGAGCAGTGTTGAAATTCAGGCAAAGAGTCAAGCAGAAACCTTTAATTCCATTTTTCAGGAGATGAAGCGGTTAAAGGAATGTGTAATGGAGTTGGAACAAAGTGTTAAGCAGATGAACAGTAAAGTTAATCGAATTTTTTTCCTGGTCAACTGAAGCAAATAGCCAACATTTATTTGCACCTTCCTCGCCTCAAATGGTTTCTCTTGCACCTTTTACTGTGACTGGCACAGTTGGAACATTAGTTCAAGAGTTACGGCATCACCTGCAGGAGTAACAACATGAGCAAGCTATTTCTGAATCACAGTAACAATCTTGTTTGAGCACACAGTTATCTTTGCCTCTCCCTCCCCCCTCTATGGTACCTACCCCTTAGTCTCAATTGATTGCTCCTTTGACTGTTCCACAAGTGAATTTGTGCCTCATTGATGTGATCTCTGTAAATCAGACCATGATAAGGCAACTGCCTGTAATCCAAGATTCTCATGTGGCACAGTTGCCTACCCTGGGTCTAAATTTGCAGCTTTTAGCCAATCAGTTTGTGTCCCCTATATTACCTGCTTCATATTATGGAGTTGATGTGCACCAGCAGCAATTACCACAATCCCATGCAACTAGAGCTACAATGCAACCACTAATACCTTATTGGAGTTTAAATCCCTCACTGTTTGGCCCAGTTTACCCTGGATTTTGGCCTCCAGAAGCAGGCCACATGTATACACATTTGACAATCCCAATGAATCACCAGATTTCCATGGGATTTTAGCTTCATCCCAGTGTCAACCACACTTTCAGCAGGTTTTGCATAATCCAGGAGTTGGACACAAGTGCTCTAATAGTCAGTTACACTCTCTACCTGTACCTTCAGCATATCTTATACGTAATCGAGCATCTGCACCATTTACAGCACAAGCTGGAGGTTTGACTAGCCATGTTCAACAGCAAAGTCAAGTTGGCATACCAGAAAATGTTTTAACTGGCACGATGTGTGTTCAAACTGCCTTTCATGATGTTCAGCCTTCATCCCAGTTAGTTATGTCAAGTCTGTCTTCCCCTTTGCCAGTGAGACCTACCCAGCAGCTACACCAAACTAACCAAGTATTACAGCATAATACTCTGCCTCATGTTTCTGGGCCTTCAGTTCCATTATCTGTATTAGGATTTCAAGTGGAATCTGAGCCAAGCTATCATGCTAGCCTTCCTCCAAGATCTTCTAGAATTGAAGGGCCGTCCTTCCCCAATCTGTGTAAAGAAGATCCTAAACAACTCATAATGTTGAAAATGGCTTTGGAGAATTTATTACCAAGTGAGCAGTATAAACTCCATATTCTTTTAGACCAGTGCTGTGCAGAACAGTGCTGTGAGAAAACAACACTATTGGCTGTGTTTTTTTGTTAAATGGAGGAGCTACTCTTTGTCCTGCCCTCTGTTCATGTTTCAGTTAAGATATCAAAATTCTAATAAAAAATAATTCCAATTTTACAGTACTTCACGAAAACTTTAAAGTGGAGGACAATACAGCTTCAGAAATCTAATTTGCAAGCAAATATGTCAAAATTGACAAACTAACTGTGCGTTTCAAATGAATTAAGTGCAGACTAACTTCTGTGATCTGTGACAGATCTTCTGTGATGAATGAATGAATGAATGAATGAATACTCACAGAGCTCTTCTGCAGTTTCTCACAGCTGGTATCAGTCTCAGTCTTCCCTCATCTGATGTGTTGAACTTCTTCAGCTCAAACTCATCCAGCGGCTCCTCTGACATCTCAATCATGTAGGAGATTGCTGAGCAGGAGTGAGTTTCTCCTCTGAGTGTTTGTCTGATTTCACAAACTCCTGAATCTCTCTGGCCAGAGTCTGATCTTTCACCTCCAGCAGACAGAGGAACAGGTTGATGGATCTTTCAGCTGAGAGTCCATCTTCTCTCTTAATCTTGTCTTTAATGTCCTGTGTGATTTCTCTGATACTCTCTGAGCTCTTCTCTGTGTGTGGCAGCAGATCCTGGAAGAGTCTCTGATTGGACTCCAGTGAGACGCCCAGTAGGAACCGCAGGAACAGATCCAGATGACCATTACTACTCCAGAGAGCTTTATTAACTGTTGAACTGAGCAGAACATACAGAGAGTTCTCAGAGCTGGAGTGTAGATATTGATTATATGAATGTTCAGATTCATTACCATCCATCCACTCATCTTCATCATCTGAATATCCTCTGTCAAACATCAACTTCAGCTGTTTTCTCTTCTTTGTTACATGGCAGTGAAACAAATGGAAAGCAGCCAGAAACTCCTGAAAGCTGAGATGGATGAAGCTGTAGACTTTCCTCTGCTGAATCACAGATTCCTCCTTGAAGATCTCAGTGCAGATCCCAGAATACACCGAGGCGTCAGTGACGTCTATGCCGCTCTCAATCAGGTCCTCCTCATAGAACATCACATTGCCCTTCATCAGCTGTCTGAAAGCCACTTCAGCAAGTTTGAGGATCTCTCCTCTGTTGGACTGCAGGAGTTTCTCTGGATCTCTCTCTTCATACTTCTGCTTCCTCATGTTGATCTGAATCAGCAGGAAGTGGATGTACATCTCAGTCAGAGTTTGAGGGATTTCTATGAAGGTATTTTTTGGGGCAAATCTCCCAAGCAGCTGTAAAAGTGTAATTTGTAGTTGTAAAGAATAGCCACAAATGTGTATCAGTAAATTTGTACTCGCAGAGCAAATTTGCAAATGTGTATCAGTAAATTTGTACTCGCAGAGCAAATTTGCAAATGTGTATCAGTAAATTTGTACTTGCAGAGCAAATTTGCAAATGTGTAGGTATTTTTTGTCTCCAACAAACACAACGCAACATTTACACCTGCACAAATTCTTCAGTACAGGTGCACAAATCCCATCGGACGAATCACAAATGCAGAAACTCATCTGCTCATGTTCTTTGCTACTATTGTTTCAGTGAATATGGTGCAAAACACATTCACACACCTGCATCCAGAAATGTGAAGTCACAGACAAAACTTGCACATCTGTAGATTAGAATGTGTATCCGCACAAAGATAGCTGAACGTGTGTAGAATGTTTGATTTATTTTTTTCCAAGCACGAACACAAATATGTTCCTGCAACTGCTCAAATCTGCCGCTACGAGTCTCAAGCGCTGTTTTTCACTTGCAAATCTACGTTTCGCTCTCTCGCTCTTCTGCACCAAACATCACTGTGACATTTGGTGCAAAAGTGACTTGTGTATCTGCCAACCAAAACGTGGGCTCTCAGAGAAATTCAGCCAATAGGGGATGGGGCGTGACGTCACCGCTCTAGCGCTGCGGAGGCTGAACTTCGAAACCGAAACCCCCTTTGCGAGATTCGCCGCATCTATACCTGATTTGCGTTCAAAAATACCTGCTTAATTATTTCATAGTAGGAGCAAACATGCCTTAATAAAAGGAGCACATTGAACNNTNTAGTAACCATAAAAAGTACACCAAGTGGATGCCTTTCTACTCCAGGAAGCCGCAGCATACGGCCTGAAGGAGGAAGGACGCGGTCAGTTTGAAATGTGAGTATTAAACCAAAGACAATTCCTTGTGTTAAACTCGTATTTGTTGAGCTACTGTACAGTGCACTGTAGAATTGCTAAGGGTGTAAAGAGGCTTTAAATTATAGCCTATTTTATTTTGCTGTAAACGTTGATTATGTAATGTTACGTTCTCCAGTCAGCACATATAAAGTAACGTTTCAAAAGTAAAAGAGATAATTATCAAATGTCTGACAGAAAAATATTAAGTATTGCAGATCACAAGACTAAACAGACATCTGAGTGAGTGATGTATTTGTGCAGATGTAGAATCTGCTGTCAATTGACTGTTGCCAATTATACTGATACATGTAATCTTAATAAATGAGAATAAAGGGTTATTTGTTTAATCTGTGCATCAGTATAGTTGATCAATTGAGGAAGGTTTGTGTTACATCAGCAACTACACCAACATGTTATATTTGAGCATGAGAATCACAGAGGTGATTTATTCTAGTCTCTATGTTACAGGGAGGCTTTTATTGAGTACAGTACAGAAATAAAAAAAAACATATTTTACATTTGCTATTTATTATTAGTTGTTGTATTTTCAAACAGTGATTACATCAGCTGTCTGATTGCTGGTGTGTGTGCGTGCTTTTTCTGCAGAGCTGAATCGATGACATCCTGAAAGCAGCAATGCAGTTAAGGTACGTTTTCATTGCTTCTTTTTATAAAACCAATTATAGTTGTACATTTTGATGTTAGTTTAAATATAACTATGTTAGTGATCAGTATTTATAGCTAGGATAACAATTCTTGTTTTACGAAAGGTAACGTGGCTAGCTTGCCCTAATGTCAAGTTTGCTATTCAGTCTTATCACATAATACGATTAAACTATTTAATTCATAAGCTATATTTGTTTTAGAAAAATGGCAGACCAGGGTGCATCCAATGCATTGAGGTGAAGCTGGATTTATAGTTGCACATTATGACTTTCTCCTTAATAATATAATTTCAGAAAAAGATTTTCAAATTCTATATAGGGAATTCATGTTAGCAGCCAATGACCATCAAAATACAGCACTGTCCACAGTCAGTTAAATATTTGTGCTAATGTTGTTTTGAAGTCATTCAGATCAAATATTTAAAGTACCATGGTAAACAATATAGGGACCATTAAAATGTTTAAATGTGCAAATATAAAACCAACTTTACCTTAATAACTAATGCTACCATGTTTTATGATTCATTTCATTCCAAAAAATGTATGTTTACTTAACATTTTAGCCAAGAATGCATTGCTAGTAACGATAAATGTGGAAAATTAACTAAGTAAATCTACTTGAAGTCACTAGACAATGCATCTTATTTTTTTTACATTTCTGTTAAACAATGGAAATGCATACAATATTGAAAGTATTATCATTATTTATTGAAAACAAACAAAAACATATTTATATTATTAAAAGAATGAATATAAGTAATCATGACGAATAAATACAAGTCAACAACACATGAAACCAAGCTTTATTCTAACAGAGATGTATTACAGACAGAAGCCCATGTTTTGCTGTATCTCCACACAGCTGGGCCAGTTCTGCAGATGATCAGACGGAGTTCGCCATCATCACATCCCTCATTGCTGCAGTCAGACTGAAACAGGACGGTGATGCATGGCAGTCAATGCCCGAGATACGGATGATGAAGAGACCACAGCAACATCTGGTCCAGATGAGGACACAAGGGCAGGTGGACTGATGCAGGGTCTCGTTTAATTCACTACAGGAGAACAGGAGTGGCCAAACTCAGTCCAGAACTGCTGCTGTCTTGCAGAGTTTAGTTGAAGTTGACTCTAAACTTCACCAGCCATCCAGAACTAAGTTTGGGCACCCCTGCATTACAGCATTTCCAGGATGCTGCTGTGGACTTCTTTACACTCACCACATACACCAATCTGCAGATATTTCAAATCATACAAAACATAAAAAAACATTCAAAAAACAAAGTAATTTTACTGCACAATGTGTCATTTGATTTCTGTAGTGCTAGTAATAAAATTATCCTACCTCTTATTTTGGATTCTTTTTACCTCAAATGTGTTAGTTCCCTTGTCTACAGGTCCAGCTCCATCACAACAGCTCTGCAGAAAAATCACACACACACACAACAGCAATCAGAAAGCTGATGTAATCACTGTTTGAAAATACAATAACTAACAATAAATAGCAAATGTAAAATATGTTTTTTTAGTTCCTGTACTGTACTCAATAAAAGCCTCACTGTAACATCAAGACTAGAATAAATCACCTATGTGATCAGGCCCGGCTCCAGCTTGGAACTTTAGGGTGGGCCAAGTGACATTTTGGGTGGACCAACAAAAATAGACAAATTATATATATATATATATATATATAAACAATGATTTTAAAAGTAATAAAATAATTGATACTATTCTCTGTCATTTTAATAAAGCAAACTAACTTTTATTTTAAAACTAGTATTTGTACTGCAGATTATATTTATGTCAGTGTTTGCTTGCTTAAGTGATGTTTGCCAAGTTTTGCAAGAAAACTCTAGAAAAACATGTTGCTCTCCATGAACTATATAGGTGATTTTGTAATTGCAGGTACATTTAGTGACCAAAGCCATCCTTTTTTCAGCTTTTAAAAAATTGTTACGTTACATTGTTACATTTTTGATTATTTATAAAATGTGTTAATCATTTTCAAAGATCACATTACCAAAAATCACGATTTCTTGATTTACGAAGTAGTCAGTGCATTTTTCCATCATGCAAAAATATTTTATTTTGCTTTTCTTTAAAAAAAATTTCACCAATATTTTAATTTTAAATGTTTAAACTGTAAACTGTCAATGCTATTATTATCACAATTACAAAAGGAAAACTGAATATTTCATTAATCACATTTTACAAATAAAAAATATTTTAATCCTGATTTCAGTATCGTGATCTTTGCAGTTATGGAAAGCAAAAGATTTGGCTAAAAAGTTGTAAAACTGTAAATTACTGTCAATTCAGTTAAAATTTAGTAACTACACATTACGATTTGTCTTGCTATAACTTATTATTATTTCTGAACATTACTAAAATCCTCCATGACAGAGTTGACAAACAATATAAAACTTTTTATTCCCTAAAATTAAAACATTTTATCATTTGTTCAGCAAAAGCTGAATTATAAAAAATAAATATGTTTTAACTGTAGTGTTGGAATTTACAACTTTAAGATGATACCTTTGAAAAAATATCAACATTCCATACCATTTTCTATATTTTGTGATTTAAAAAAAAATCTTAATGTTATTATTAATGCACCAGAGCCAATATGGACATTAGTATTTTTTATAACTAACAAACAAATTTTTGAATAGCAGATTTTCTTTGCATATTAGCCTACTTATTAGTGGTAGATAGATAGCTAATACAGTATCATTTATAGCCTATCAAAAAAAAAATTCTGAATTTATTTAGCATATAACATGTTTTAATCGACAATGTAATAACATGTGTGTCGACCTGCTCCCTGAAACATCTTGAATTATCAATATTTATTCTATTCATTATTGAATTCTGAATTTTTAATATGGTATTGCACTATTGTTGAGCACAACAGTGAACAGTAACAGTTTAAGATATCTTGTGTATGATTTTGACATTTTTTCCTTATCAGTTAAAAGTCGAATAACAGAGAGATCACATATGATAATTTAAGAGATTTAAAGAGGAAAAAAGACAATACGTCAATCGATAGCACGTTACACGGCTTTCGTATTTAATTAATCGAGTCAGTGATATTGAAATGAGTTCAGTTTCTAACCTCTCCAAATTTACAGATGAGGTACACACAGCAGCGCGCGTCAAGAGAAGAGCGCGCATTTAGAGAGAGCAAAGCGAAAGCAAGATTATGTGTGGATATGTGTCGAAATATTGATGTTTTTGACACAAACTGCATCAAAGTGCTTTGCACTGGTGTTTGAATTGTATACGTTGCACTTTGCACGAACTTTACTACTGAAACTGCCTGTGATCTGTCCGTTTCTGTGCGTCATTAACAGATTGATTAATATTTGCTCTTTCCGTGAGAAAAATGTGCTATAATGTTTAAGCAGGCCCAATACATCTCCCGATTATCCCACAGTGTTGTTTAACTGTTTGTGTTCTTTAAGACTTTCTATTGTATGAATTACGACTGCATGGACTGATATTAAAGGGAGGTGCATTTGGTAATGCGCGTTCAGACGCGTGATGCGCACAGAAATCTGCGCTTTATGCTGAATTAGTTTCTCTTTCATCTTTTGCAGACTGAATTTTTTTTTAATTAATAAAACAGAATACTTTAATCAAGATTGTAAATGAGTCTGGCTTGTCAAAACGTGTTTTTTGAAGCTCACGCGGTCACAATTCTTTAATTGATCAACTATTCTGATGCACAGATTAAACAAATAACCCTTTATTCTCATTTATTAAGATTACATGTATCAGTATAATTGGCAACAGTCAATTGACAGCAGATTCTACATCTGCACAAATACATCACTCACTCAGATGTCTGTTTAGTCTTGTGATCTGCAATACTTCATATTTTTCTGTCAGACATTTGATAATTATCTCTTTTACTTTTGAAACGTTACTTTATATTTGCTGACTGGAGAACGTAACATTACATAATCAACGTTTACAGCAAAATGAATAGGCTATAATTTAAAGCCTCTTTACACCCTTAGCAATTCTACAGTGCACTGTACAGTAGCTCAACAAATACGAGTTTAACACAAGGAATTGTCTTTGGTTTAATACTCACATTTCAAACTGACCGCGTCCTTCCTCCTTCAGGCCGTATGCTGCGGCTTCCTGGAGTAGAAAGGCATCCACTTGGTGTACTTTTTATGGTTACTAAAGTTTTAAATGTGCTCCTTTTATTAAGGCATGTTTGCTCCTACTATGAAATAATTAAGCAGGTATTTTTGAACGCAAATCAGGTATAGATGCGGCGAATCTCGCAAAAGGGGTTTCGGTTTCGAAGTTCAGCCTCCGCAGTGCTAGAGCGGTGACGTCACGCCCCATCCCTTATTGGCTGAATTTCTCTGAGAGCCTACGTTTTGGTTGGCAGATACACAAGTCACTTTTGCACCAAATGTCACAGTGATGTTTGGTGCAGAGGAGCGAGAGAGCGAAACGTAGATTTGCAAGTGAAAAACAGCGCTTGAGACTCGTAGCGGCAGATTTGAGCAGTTGCAGGAACATATTTGTGTTCGTGCTTGGAAAAAAATAAATCAAACATTCTACACACGTTCAGCTATCTTTGTGCGGATACACATTCTAATCTACAGATGTGCAAGTTTTGTCTGTGACTTCACATTTCTGGATGCAGGTGTGTGAATGTGTTTTGCACCATATTCACTGAAACAATAGTAGCAAAGAACATGAGCAGATGAGTTTCTGCATTTGTGATTCGTCCGATGGGATTTGTGCACCTGTACTGAAGGATTTGTGCAGGTGTAAATGTTGAATTGTGTTTGTTGGAGACAAAAAATACCTACACATTTGCAAATTTGCTCTGCAAGTACAAATTTACTGATACACATTTGCAAATTTGCTCTGCAAGTACAAATTTACTGATACACATTTGCAAATTTGCTCTGCAAGTACAAATTTACTGATACACATTTGTGGCTATTCTTTACAACTACAAATTACACTTTTACAGCTGCTTGGGAGATTTGCCCCAAAAATACCTTCATAGCGGATGGGCTACAGCAGCAGAAGACCACACCGGGTGCCACTCCTGTCAGCTAAGAACAGGAAACTGAGGCTACAATTCACACAGGCTCACCAAAACTGGACAGTAGAAGACTGGAGAAACGTTGCTGCTCTGATGAGTCTCCATTTCTGCTGCAACATTTGGATGGTCGGGTCAGAATTTGGCCTCAACAACATGAAAGCATGGATCCATTCTGTCTTGTATCAACGGTTCAGGCTGCTGGTGGTGGTGTAATGGTGTGGAGAAGATTTTCTTGTCAGAGCGTGAATCATCTCAGACTGGTTTCTTGAACATGACAATGGGTTCACTGTACTCAAATGGCCTCCACAGTCACCAGAGCTCAATCCAATTAAATAGAGCACCTTTGGGATGTGGTTGAACAGGAGATTGGCATCATGGATGTGCAGTCGACAAATCTGCAGCAACTGTGTGATGCTATCATGTCAATATGGAGCAAAATCTCTGAGGAATATTTCCAGTGCCTTGAATCTATGCCACAAAGGATTAAGACAATTCTGAAGGCAAAAGGGGGTCCAACCAGGTACTAGTAAGGTGTATTAAAAATAAATAAGTGACAAAATGGCCGGTAAATGTATATAACTTTATAATTTCTAACGTTCTAAAATCCAAACATTTGATTATTCACATTTTTTGTTTATTTAAACATTTTCAGACACACAAGTGTTTATTGTTAGCTAATTTAATTCTAATGCTGGATTTAACATTACTAAAATTACACACATTTTATTCGACTGCGTTGTTTGACATGCGTCGAAACCTGGAAACGCGAAAGCCTGAAATAAATGTTATATTTTACGTTTAAAACGATATAACCCTCGTTAAATTAAATCAAAACAGCCTGGTTATGCAATACTAACCTTTCACACTGTACCTTCAGCAAATTTACAAGGCAAATCATCGAAATCATACAATATAAACGAAGATTTCCTCTGACAAGAATTATCGCTAATGAGTTTCCAAGACAACCGCACTTTCCGTCGGTAGAGACTAGATAGGATACATCTGCGGATACGCGCATCAATATCACATCATTTTTGTAATGCTGTATAACAATAATTCATATTTTTACAGTACTGTAACAGTTGGGTTTAAAGTTGGGGTAGGGGTAAACGTTAATAAATAAAGTTTATTGGGTAATTTAATAAATGACATCAACAATACTTGATACAACTACTGTTTTTACATTACTGTGACGGTTGGGTTTAGGATTGGAGTAAGGGGAAATGTTAATAAAATGCAATTAATGAAAAATTTAATACATAATATAA